TTTTCCATGACAATATCGATTGTAAATAATTGTATAAATACGCTTGATTTGTGTGTTTGATTTGACTTGTTATCTGCTGTTTGTCTGTAGAATACACTTTCTACACCTTACCCAAACTTCTTGATCGAGTTAGCAGAGTTGGGGACAACGGACCAGAATAGGCTATCGAGTCGCTGAATCATTGATCCTTCGTTTCGTTCGAGTAAGACGCATCAGTAATCGCATTCAAGCAATAACGAAACATAACAAATTTGAAACTGTAACAAACTGCTTTAATACACTAGATGTGGTTTCATCAATGGTATGTTAGAGAAGATTTAAATCAGTCAATCAAGTAGTCTGAACATTTTATATATGACCTCTTTAGTTCATTAAAATGCCAACATGTAATGTGTATCAAATACCATCATTCAATCCCATTTTTCGCTTGTCAGAAAAATCATATTCGCTTACAGCAAGTGTATATCTTAATCTGAAAATATGAGTGGTGTTACGTATGTAGACAAAAACCACTTAACTGTGTAACAGAAGCTATGCTTTTGGTTGACGACTATCGTTTTGTCTTGTTGTTTAGGATCAAACTGCAACCTCAGAGTTTGTGTTTATTGTACTCGGACAAGGTCAAGACATTTCAGTACTAGTCAGACTATCAACTAGAAGTCATCTTATTTGATTCGCAGATCTAGTTGGACATTGATAGGTCCGTAATTTGTATACACCTAGTGTAGGGACGGGTTTTTGTCATTGATTATATACATCATTCTATATTGAATGTTTGGTTCAGTTATTACTTGAATAGTATAGTAGAATGATTTTAGTCTGAATTTAATAAATAACGAAAGTTTCTACAATATGGCATTTTTAAGCACGTAACACGTAAAGTTGTCTCATATTATAGTTATTATCACATGAATTTTCTAGTTTCTTTTATTAAGTAACTTGAAATAATTAAGTACAGTTTCTGATGTACCAGGCTTAAAGTAACACCGCGTTTATAGGCTCGATTGTATTATTTGGCTGTTCAAGCTGAATTAGGTGGAACTGAGTTAGGGATCACAATCCAGTAAGCAAAGATGCATAATGGCTAGTAGCGGAATCCAGGACGCGCGTCTCGTCCTATTTGGAACTCGTCAGCTGGATGTACCTGCATCCCAGAGCTGACGTTCACTCCGGAACTCAAACCCAGTGCCGTTCGCTTCAAACGCCATCGCGTTATCCACTTAGCTACTGAGTCCTGATAGCCTCCTGCTTGGGTAATGGGGTGAAGTTGAAATTTACTTGGTATTGTGTAATTGAATTTTCCCATGCAAGTACATCCAGCTGACGAATTCCAAATAAGACGAGACGCGCGTCCTGGATTCCACTGCTAGCCACTGTCCATCTTTGCTTATAGTACTTGTGAATTAAAGCAATCCGCACAGGATGCACATATTCCAATAAGATACTGATCAATCGTAGTCCTAAATATTGATGGAAAGATTCAATTAAATAATACCGAGTCAACCTACAACCCAGTATTTGTATTTTAATTGGTTTTTAAAAACAAAGTAACTGCTTTTGGCTTTTCTTACCATACCCTTTCAACTCTGTGACAATAGTAACGGTGTAAATTAAATGATTCATATTTTGTATCGTTTAATTCTTCTACCATGGGTCAGGCAATAATGATAATAATAATAATCAAAACAATGATAACTGTAGGTTTATTTACATAGTAATATTCGTGTAACTTTCAATCATTAAATGTGGAGGTCACACTGTTCATCATCTTAATGACGATATCAGTGTTTTCTTGAAATTAAGCAAAATATTGTGACTGTTTCTTTATATATATATATATATATATATATATATATATATATATATATATATATATATATATATATATATATATATATATATATATATTACCCTCATGCTTCCGTTTGTTTCCTTCTGTATATCTTAGCCTAGTCATCAATTTTTATAGATAATCTTTGGAAAAGATAGCTTGTACACTTCTATTTCCGTATAATGAACAAAACAACCCCACTTGTATATGAAATTTATGACAGTTAGTTTATATTATTTAGATTATTGAAGCAAATTAAAATCAATCTATTCAGGTTAAGTGAGGGTTTTTTCAATAATTATAAATAGTTTTCAATTAGTTTTTATTATCAACTAGCACCACTTGAAGAGGAGTAATTAAAAAAAACAAGAATCAAGCATTTAAATGATAAGTATCCGATGGGGTTTTGTGGAGATTGTAATAATTCCAATAGTTGAGATCATGAGTTAATTGAAGCTAGACCGCCATGGAAAACCTGGAAGCACTGAATGACCGTTTCGTCCTATTGTGGGAATCCTCAGCAGTGCGCATCCACGATCCTCTCCGCGGGATTCGAATCCAGGACCTATCAGTTGAATGATTGTTTTATCTTAGCTTAGAGCCTTTTCATAATGCATACTCCACCTACTCTTGGGTCATCATGTTTCATTGAACCTGATATCATATGTTTTGTTTTCCTACATCAGTTAATCTGTAATATTAGCACAATTTCTCATTTAAAATAAACTATCGAATTTCAATTCATTAACCTAACATTAGATAATATTATACTTACTTCATAAATTCTGAGTTTACTTCGGTAGATCTTCACTACTAAAGATTCTTTAACTTAAAAGAAGCATCTGTTCAGTGTGTTTCTCGATTTTTTTAAAATGAAAAATTCACTATATCATGTCACTTATATCGAATCGATCGTCAACTTGCGAGAAATTAAGGGTGTGAATAATGCCTATTCTTTTCTAGTTTACAGTAGAAGCAATGAAGTAAACACAACTAAAATGACTTTATAGTAGACTATTGTTTCATCCTATTTACTTTTATAATCAAACTTAATTGATCTAATTTCTTTATTGTTTATCTTTTTATATGTTTTGTGATATTTTAAACCTTGATATAATTCGATTTATCTACCGTGGGTTGATCATTTAAGTTTACTAATTGAACAATGATGATCAATTTCATTTTGATCATGTATGTTATTTCATATTCAGTAAATGAATTGAATCATTTGTCTTGAAATTTAAAGTTTCAATAAATAAATTGGTTGAATTTATGATTCAATTAAAGTCAGACCAACATGGAAGCACTGGACGACCGTTTTGTCCTAGTATGGGACTCTTCAGCAGTGCGCATTCACGATCCTGTCCGCGGGATTCGAACCCAGGACCTACCGGTCTCTCTTGTGAACGCTTAACCTCTAGACCACTGAGCAGGCATCCAACGGTGTTAGTGTTCAGCTTCAATCAATCCGCAAGATCGCGCCACCTTCCATCATTGTCTTCAGTTAGTTACTATCTCACTACAGACCTTATTGAACTCAACTGGTCATGACTTACTAGGATTCCGGGACGCGTTGGCAACTTCACTTATCTTGGAAGTCTGATCAGCCCTAATGGGTTGGTATCTGACGAAATCTCAGCACAGATTCGAAAAGCTCGCTTGGCTTTTGCCAACTTACGTCACCTATGGCGAAGGTGAGATATCCGTCTATGAATAAAAGGATGAGTATACTGTGCGGCAGTTCGTTCTGTTCTACTTTACGGCTGCGAAACGTGGCTATTAAGAGTAGAAGATATTCGAAAATTACTAGTATTTGACCACAGATGCTTTAGAAATATTGCTCGCATTTGCCGGGATCATCGGGTAAGTAATAGTGAGGTTAGACGCAGGTTATTAGGGAATGATGGTAAATCAGGTGATGAGGTTGTGAATCTTCATAGACTGAAATGGTTGGGTCACGTGTTACGTATGCCTGAATACTAATTACCACGACGCGCAATGCTGACCAGTGTTGGGAGTGGTTGGAAGAAAGCTAGGGGCGGCCAAACCAAAACGTGACATCAGTGCTTGAAGTCACTAACTTCTGGTCTGAGCCATGTTGGTAGATGCAGACTATCGTTACCACTGGTCGGAGACTCTGATTGACATGGCTCAGAATTGATCACAATGGTTGTAGGTGTATACACTCTTTCTATTCCTTTAAAATATGAGATTAAAATCGCTTCATATTTTTCTTTCTACCAGCTACTTTCTTCCTTATATGCAATCTTTCTTTTATATATTACCACTGTTGAATTAACTACTTCCATGAATCCGGTGTTCATCTTGTTGTGCTAATAAGGTTATGGCAACTTGGACCGATGCACATATGTGCCTGGTCCTACGTTGTAGCTGACTGACTGAGAACTCCGAGAAATACCTTTTGAAGCCAGTCACTAGTGATCAGATGATGATTATTATCAGAAGAGGGTATATTGTAGAGATTTTAGTAATTTAATAATTAAATTCATGAGTCAATTGAAGCTAGACCATCATTGAAAACCTAGAATCGTAGATGTGCACTGCTGAAAAGTCCCATACTAGAACGAAACGATCATCCAGTGCTTCCAAGTTCTCCATGTTGGTTTAGCTTTAATTAACTCATGAATTCAACTATTGAAATTACTACAATCTCGATAAAACCCTCCTTTCTATAATAAATTGATACTAAATATCTTGATTCGTTCCAATTATTTTTTGATAGACATTAAATTGGTATGTTATTTATTCTTAAAATTTGTTTTCTTGTCTCAGTCATACTACTTAATTGAGTTACATATATATTTTTCATAGTCGAATCTGGACTTTGCATAGTTTATAATGAGTCATTTACTCGACATATTCAGCATATCTCCAGGATGATTTGTAAGGACTATAAGTTTTATGCTCTTCAGTATATACTGTAAGCATGTTATCCTTCAGTGAAATAAACCCTATTCTATTTTCGGGTTATCATTATCACTTATATCAAGGCCTTATCTTCTATCGTTTCTTAAGTTTTTTTTACTGATTGTTTTGTGATTAGGTTACATAACCAATTCTAGACTGTTACATAACTTTTTGTTCTTCTTCCCTAATGGATATTAATTTATTGTTTAATAAATGCTTTATAATCATATTTAATTTATAGTTGTGGATAAATGATTACGTCAGTTCTCTTGGTATTGGAGTTTATCATACAGGAGTTGTAGTTCATGGAATTGGTAAGTGTTAACATCTTTGTTTTCCATTCACTTATAATTTGCAATGTTTATTCAGTTCATATTTGTAGGATTATATAAACTGAAATAAACTAGTAAATACAACTGAGGATGTGATCAAAAAACAAAATAAAACCACTGAAATTACCACATTTCTTAGTCATACAACCGATAATTAAAGACATTTATATTTGTGAGAGAAATGATCTAAGAATACTAAATCTGAATTTAAATGACCTGTGAAATTTCAATGCTTTTCCATTGTAAAATTCAACATAGTATATCTCATTTAAACACATATTTTTTTCCTGAATGCCATTATGCTCGTTATTGAAACATGTTCTTGTATCTATGTGATTTTAAAATTGAACCCTTTCTAAACCTTTAAAATCGTAAAATAAAGCATTCCATGCGAAAGAGGACTTAGTTCTTGAATTTCTGACTCAGTGCTTGCATAGCAACAGGTGGTTACACATACTTAACACATGTCTTAACCACCTAGTTTTATGAACATTTATAACTTAGTCGACTGGTTTGACATCTTTGCCTAGTACCTTGTACTTAACCTCGACTTAGTGAACAACATTGAGGTTAGGAATGGAGTATTTTGTGTGTGAGATGTCAAATCGCTTGATAAGCTTGTACATATTCATTGGTACAAGTGGTTAGGACATGTGTTATCCATGCATAACCGCTGTCTACTTCGACGAGTGACATTTGTTGGTGTAGAGGTAAGTTGAATGAAAGTTAGAGGTGGCTAAACTAAAATATGAAGTCACTGACTGTTGTCCTGAGCTATGTAGGTGCATGCCGATCACCTGGTTGGGGTTCGCGTGATAATTGTAATCAATCGCTGAAGATTTTGGACGACATGGCTCAGACAATGACGTAGATGCATTCACACTTTATTTCCTCAATATGGAATCTCAGCGTTCCGTCATACATACCTATAAACCATATCTTTTTAAACCAGATTCCCAGTGCTTATTCCTTCTCAATATCATTTCTGAAACATTATTTTCTATCACTTTTGCTATTCGTATATATATATATATATATATATATATATATATATATATATATTGGTTGTCTGGATCCCCCTATTGATGTTTAGGAATATAATCGTTCAGTCTCTTTTGACATATTTGGATTTCCTCGATATAGCAATTAAGTCACAAGTATTTTAAGCAATATGGATAGTGCTTATTACTGGAATTGAAGACGCACATTTCGTCCTATTTGGGACTCTCCAGTTGAAAGCACCTGCATCCCAAAGTTGATGTTCACCGCAGGACTCTAACACAGTAACGTACGCCTCAAATTCACCCCACTACAGAAGCCAGTGACTATCTGGACTTGGTAGCTAAGTGGATAACATGATGGCTTTGAAGCGAACGGGACAGGGTTCGAGTCCCGGATTACACATCAGTTGTGGGATGCAGGTACATTCAATAAATCAGTCAAAATGTGGAGAATCGCGTGTCCTGGATTCCATTGCTATCCACTATCTATATCTTTTTAAACTGCTTTCACCACTCATTTTGTTAATCTCATATCATCGTGCTAATATGACAGATAATCTAACCAAATTATCATTTCATTATCATAACCAGCGAAAAATAAACCTATTTTTCCTGTCCTGTGTAACGCCCATTTACAGTAGTTCGTTCTACTTCGAGGTTATAATGTATTATAATTGTTTATCACCCATTCAGCTGTAGTTTGTTTAAATTTAATGAAGAATTCGTGTTTAGAGAGCCACTGTTTTGTAAATGAAATTTTTTGGGTGCGAAATTGCAAATTAGTTATGTTGGCAATTATTATAAGTCATACTTTTTTCTAAAATCAGAAGTCGATCTTTCTTATTTTTCTCACCAAAATTCCTCCTCCACAGACATTGAAATGTATTCTTTTTAAATTATCCCCGTATTTCCCCAGTTAGTGAATAGAAATTTTTGATATGTCAGTTTATCTGACGGCTGTATACACACTGAAATGTAGACTAGTACTTGCTTTTTTTTGTTAAAACATTCAAAGATTTCGTCGAAAGCCAATATTCCTTGTTCTGTAATAGTTAAAGTGTTGTTTTTACCTTAGATTTTGTTCGATCCTTCTATATTTATATTGTTAGCTTTTATAGATCATCGTACTGCAAGCATTCAATCTTCAACCTATTTTTTATACTTTTGTTGTATTTATTGGTAGGGCATCAGAGCATATAAGTGATAATCTGAGTGCTACTATTGTTACAATTGTGTCAGATTCACTAGACAGTTCGGTTCCTTTGAAACTTCACATATATCTGAAATATAATGTCAATTTTTCCTGTCTATATTGTATATTTATAAAAGATATCTGGTACTGAATAATTGTATATATAATTATGTTGTGTTGGATTATGTTAATTTCAGTAGTATTATTGGTTAGAATTACACTATCGCTAAATGTACTTTATTATTATTTTGTCATCATAGAATATTCATATGGTGGACATCCATTAACCAACTCTGGAGTGTTCTCTATGTTACCAAGAGATTCTGCTTATTTAGGCGAAAATTATTCGTACAAGTTAGTATTATTTCTCTTTGTCTCTAAACGTTGATTTATTCAGAATATTTGTTTCAGTATTTACATATGATCATATTCACTTTGCATTTTGTACTCATAGTGTCTATGACAATGATTTTGGTGGAGTTTTGTTCAAAATCATCCACTTGAGTTATAAATCTTCTCCACCATTACAGAGAGTGATTATTTAAAAATTAGTCATATTCATGTAGTTTAAAGTTATCATCTGGAAAGACAACCATTTTAAAAATCAAGGAACACTCTGTACATCTAATTCGTCTTCATTAACATCCAGGCGATCTAATTAATCATCATAGAGAATATTTACGCTAAGGCTGAATTTTGTTTAAATCAAGTTATGAATACATGGCACTCTTGTTCATATATTTTTATGATGATTATCATTGAAATCTGTAACGCGTGTTTGGTCCTTGTGTTGATATTTGTTAAGTTTGGTACTTGAATCCTTAACCCTGATTTCTAATCACTGTTTAGTACCTCAGAAATCTCTTACACTTGAATCCTTAACAGGAGACAAAAAGCTGGTAACCTAGAAAGTTTTACGAAAATATTTATAGGTTTATTCGTGAACTTGATATTCTAGGATTTTTTTGGAAACTAGTATAAATTTAGTAACAAAATTAATTATTCATCTACAATGTGGTACGTAAATTACCGCTTCTCCAGAACTATTTGGGAAGTTCCCGTTGAATTTTAAGTGGATGAAGTATTCTTAAATTTTCCTGAGCCTCTGAAGAGACTTGAGGGCGGCACTCAACAATATTCATGTTAAGGCTGGAACTGACGTCCTACCGCTCAAAGCTTACCGAAGTGTTATTCACTAGACTGCTGATTCGTTTAACAAGCATGATATTAATTATTTATTGTAAAGTTTTTCAAAGTCCATTTACCAATTAGAAACTGATCAAATTCAGTCCCGAATATCAACAAGAGAAAAATACAAATCTGTACAATTAATATTAAATATCATATCCTTTAACCAAGTTATTGGGTGTTCACTGTTCCAGTGAATAACTGATATTTAAGGTAGTAGATACTAGTTTCAAGTCTCAATGTTGAGATTAACACCAGATTAATTACTGGTAAGTGCAATTTATAAGTCTCAGACACAACTAATTGCGCCTCCTGAATTTCACTGTTATGCAACATCAAAGCATACGTTCAAAGTATATCCATTTTCGAAAGGACATTGCTTAGATTCAAATCTCAGTTTTAACAACACTTCATGAATGAACCTTTGTAACTAATAATTACTACCTGTCCTTCTTGCACATTCATGTATTTCTTTCGAAAATCATTTTTATTGTTTGGTCCAGTTTATATTGAATCCTGTAAATTTGTCTTCAAACATTTAATACGTTATCGATTTGTTCTCAATTTTGAAATGACGGCTATATCGAGGCACTTTACATGTAATGCACGTATCCCAACAAACACCGATCAAAGTCCAATCATGAATATCAACAACGGGATAACTTAAACCCTTACTATTCGTGGTTTATGAAACTCAGTGTTTACGTACTATTGTGGTATATGCTATTGATGTCGACAGAAGTAAGTAGCATGTATCACCAATCGAAGGTGGAATGCCTGACGGCAGAACGTTGAGGAAATCGAAGAGAAGAGAACGAGAAGAGAGATTAATTGGTATAAGAACGAAGAAACAACAAGGTCTGAGATAATTGATGTATATTTTGCAAATGAAGTATTTACTGTACGGTTCTCAGATTTTACCAAGACATTCTGTAATGTATTAAGATCCATTTCGTTGTTCTCGTTCACTACACTATGATACAAGTCTTTCAATACGGGTTGACACATCTTATAGTGCCTAAAGATAACACTAGAGATAGAAGTATACAAGAAAAGTGAAACCGGTGGGTTAGTGGTTAGGGCGTTGTATGTTTATCTATCAGGTCTCATGTTCGAACCCCGCTCCGTCTACTTTCTCTTGGATATTTAGGTAGTATCATTAGCTCTCACACTTAAAATATGGTTTGTACATAAATACCTGGTGAATGAGTACCATTATGGAGGATTCTCTTAGGGCAGTTGGGAAACCCTGGTTCCAAACCAATGGTGCACATGGGCTCCAGGATCCTGAGGGAACAAGTGGCGTATGAACCAAATACTGGTAACCGGCTACCATGGGACTGCATCTCCCGAAGTTGCTCCACTGACTTGTGGATTAAACCCTTAGGTCAAAGGGTACGGATGTGGCCTTTTAAGGAAACCACCTGGTTCGGTTTAGCACCTGCTCAGTATCACAACCCACACACAAAGCAAGTGACTTGTGTGGTACATATGCATTCGGTGCCCCTTTGTACCAATATTTGTGTGTTCAACTAAATAATAAACTGCCTTGACATACCCATTGTGATACAACTCACCCGTTATACGGATTACGTGTCTAATGCTCTCCGGATTTCTATGATTCTGTGGCTGTCATTTCGTGAAGAAACTTTCTCCATATTATCTTATGTTTTTAGATTTGTCCAAGTCTACACATAATTTATTTATCTGACATATATTTGTTGCCTATTTTCTGGAAGAAAAGTCTGGTGTGGAGAAAGTGTTGTTTGGCATGTCGATTCATGAGGTAGTGAATCGTTAGTTGGAGTGTTTGCAGTATATGTTACGCATGCCCTACCACCGCCTACCTTGGCGAGCGAAGTTGTTTTGTATAGAAATAGGAGTAGGCGATGTGGTAACTTGAACGGATGGGCACATATCAGGTTCTACGTTGCTTATAACTGATGACCAGCTATGTTTTTCAAAGAAATCAATTTGATAAAGTTTTAGACGTAAATAGATATTTTTTCCTTAGTAATAGTAAAACGTATTTTCAAATATTGCCACTAATCTCATTTGCGTATTTTCTTCTGGAGAGTCATTGAAACTATTTAAGAGCACCAAATTAAGTTTATCTTGCAAATATCTCTACATATGTCTGAATTGATATAACGTCGCTGCCTTGAGGGTGTTGTAAATTACTCCAGAAAATTAATTGTTGTCCATGTGTTGAATTCCACTTAATATTACTCATTTCACAAGTATAGATTTCTTCACTCAGCTTTTGGTCACACTTTTTATAAAAACTAATCTTCCCGTTGTTTATATAAAAGTATTTGGGAATGGGTTCTATTAGCGAGATATAGATTGGATTAAAACATATTCCGTGCAGAATTGTGTTAGGGCACGCCGATTAGCTATTTTTAATCTATCAGCACTAACGGGTGCTTGGAAAAGACTTTAGAATCCTCTTATGTAAAGATGATAAATATACTAACGTTTTTCTTATTGTGATTGCCACTTCCGTCCAAATTTGTTTATTCGGAGGATAATTACGTTCCTGTTCAACCGTTTTCTGATTCGGTGACTTGTCTAGTGAAGTAATGTCCAAGATGACTAAGCATTAAGAATAGCTGGGTCTTAATGAAAGAATTTATAACAGGTTCGAATTCAGATTGAGTTTTACTATGTTAGTTTTATCATGTCTAGTAATGTTTCTGATATGACGAGATAAGATGACATTATTTATGTTAATATTTTCTGCATAAATTCATTATAAATTTCGGCCATGGTGATAGGTGTAAACTTTGTTCACTGACGTCTTAAAGTCCATATTTTCTTGTATCAATTTGGTATAAACTTTTTTCTATATGACAAGTTTGAACTCTCGTTCCCTGTATTGATTCAGCTGAACGATATTTATTTTTTCTACTGTAACTCTGTATACTTCCCTCCAATGTGATATTATCGTGTATGAAATTCAGTATGTAAATGATTGAATTATGGTCTAAAGATGATGTAATTTTGGGAATTGTGTAGAGACGTGTTTTTGGAGAGTCAATAAAATTTCATTGCACCAGTCTTTCATGTTTTTACTTTGCGCCATAGGAATTGTAGGGGTTCCCGTTTCCCAATATAAGCAGTAAGTCTAAAGACTCAACAGAATCGATACGTACATAACAGCTACGACTTTCTATATACAACAGTTGGTTGGCCAGTTAAATTGTGCCGAAGGAGCCAAATTTTCCTAGTTACAACTGTTTCGCTGTTAGAATTAATGTATAAAGATACACTAAATGAAATTATTATCGAAAATCATTGTTAACTTTCATGTTATATCTTTCTTAGAGTCACATTGTCCATGGGATATACAGATTTTACAGCTTCCGACGTTCCTTTATTACTGGAGAGTATAACAACAGATTATCGTGGTGATCAATATCATTTATTGAATAAAAACTGTAATCATTTCTCTGATACATTTGTTCAGGTTGGTTTTACATTGTATTTCTATGTTATAGATTTATTTTGTTAAGAAAACATTTTCTACTTCTTGTTTTCTAATATCATGGGTTATATGTGTAAACTTCGAGGATATTTAATTCATCATCTACAAACCAGTATAACAGTGACTATTCGAAGAATTCTGTTTAGTAATATAATATCAAATGGAGAAATATTTTGCTTATTTTAGGATACCTAGAACGTATGATTGCTTTGGAGTATTTTTTGGCTCAGTATATACCGCCTTACATTGCACTGGTTTTCAAATACATATAATTAAGTTCATCAGTGATCAGCTTGTGTGAATGTATTGAATTTATATATAAAGAATATAATCTGGTTGTCGAATATTTCTACATTCAATCAGTGGTGGGCCAAAAGTTCAAGTCTTTGAATTTATTACAAAACTTATGAGAAGCATTTATGTAAATGAATATTAACAGTCAATAAACAATGTAGAAATGAAATAAAGGACTATTACAAAGTTGGTTACTCACAAGTAATAAATGTCCTCTTATGCGAGTGAATTCAAGATAATTTGACAATTTTATGTGTGGGGCAATTATTATTCCTAACACAGTTGAAAGAAGGACCTTATGGAAACTTCTTCAACACTATGATGTACTTGAGACGATTGTCTACATCATACGGAATTCATACGACAGACTACACTGCGAAGTCGTGAATGGAGGACAGAAGACATGCATTCCAAATGAGGAGTGGTGTCAGATAAGTCTGCTTACTCCCCTTTCTCTTTCTTCTGGTGGTTGACTGGATTATGAAGACCTCCAAATCTGAGGGAAAGCATAGAATACAATGGACAGCGTGGATGCAGCTAGACGATTTGAACTTTATAGATGACCTATCTCTTTTATCCAATACACACCAACAAATGCAGATGGAGACAAGTGTAGCAGCAGTCTCTGCATCGATAGGCCTAAACATACAGGAGGGAAAAAGCAAGATCCTCAAATACAACATAGAGAACACCAACCAAATCACGCTTGATGGAGAAGCTCTGGAACAGGTGGAATCTTTCACGTACCTGTGCATCATCATCGATGAACAAGGAGGACCCGATGCAGACGTAAAGGCAAGGGTTGACAAAGCAAGGGCCGCATTCCTACAAATGAAGAACATATAGAACTCAAGACAACTGTCAACCAATATCAAAGTCAAAATCTTCGATATAAACGTCAAGACAGTCCTACTGTACGAAGCTGAAACGTAGAGAACCACTACAACCATCAAAAATGTACAAGTATTTATAAACAGTTGTCTACGCAAGATACTGGATGTCCGTTGGTCGTGTATTATCAGCAACAACCTACTATGGGATAGAACAAAGCGGCTTCCAGATGAAGAGGAAATTAGGAGAAGACGTTGGAAGTGGATAGGACATACATTACAGAAATCATTAAACCGCATCATGATTCAAGTCCTAACTTGAAATGCTGAAGGGAAACAGAAAGAGGAAGGTCGAAGAACACGCTACATCGGGAATCGGAAGCAGACATGAGACGGATGAATAGCAACTGAAAAAGATTGCCCAGGACAGGGTTGAATGGAGAGTGTTGGTGGATGGCCTATGCTCCTCCAGATGGGGTAACAGGCGTAAGTAAGGGAGTAAGTTGATATAAATATACAGATATTACAATGAAGAGTAGGCCAGAGAAATATTGAGAGCGGCTACTACTAACGAATGTGGGTTGTTTGAATATCAAAGCTTCCTGTGCCTACCATCTAGATATTTCAACAGGCTACATTTTCGTTTGTTTTAACGCATTACTACGTCTATTAATCGCATAACCCATCCAAGTGCGTATATGAAAAGTTTGCGACTTATCACTGTACAAGGTACAAAAATATACAATCAGCGATATCGTGGTGGTTGATAATATGCATTGAAAAGAATGTACATTAATCATATGTCGATTTCATAAATGCTAACTTCTAACTGCCGATCACTAATTAGCAAGGCGAACTATCTTCATTTCTTGCTAAGTCTAAACGTATATCGTAATTGTGGGATAATCACAACCCAAGAATCCTGGTTAGATGACTTACAAGACGATTGTTTAGTATCACTATAAGGTTTCAATTTTTATCATCATGATCGATCAAGCAATAAAAAAGTGTAGTGGCGGTGTAGCTACATTTGTAAATGTGAACTGGTGTCGATTTGATTTTGCATGTCTTAAGTTTACAAACGAATTTGTCAGTTGTTCAACTTTAAGATGTCTAAAACACATCAGTTATGTTTATGTTAACAACATCTACGTGACTTCAGACTGCATATAATCTACACTATCTGTTTCCGTTGATTAATTCACTGGATTTGCTATTACTCCCTTCAATGGTTCACTTTCATTTGTATACGGTGATGTTAATTCATGTGACTGTAGCTTTCTTTCCTTGCTAGATCACCAAAATGTAGTAGATTTTCTCACTCGTTTGAATGATCATTTAGACTTCGTTTTTATTAATGGTGTGGGAATATATGTAGCCCTTTAAGTGCCCTGGTACAGCCGAGGGTGGGGAGAGTCTGCTCTCCCTCTTGAAATGTTCTCACATCGGCACCCGTATGCAGTCACTGCCAGAGAAGTCCTACTCATCGCCTTTTAGAGGCGGGGATGTTGTCTACGAAATTGAGAGTACGAAAAGCGAATGTCCAGCGCTTTAACCGGGTTGGTGGACACAAAGGGTCCAACTAGAGAAGTTGGAAAACCTTGATTCCAAACCAATGGTGCACATGAGCTCAGTTTGTTTGCTTTTTTTTGTAAAAGTAACTTTTTGAAATACTTCGTGCTGGGTATTCCATGTTGTACCAAAAATATAACATTGAATAAAGCCAATAATACTGCTAATAATAAATACGTATGAACAGTTTTGTCAGAATCTGGTTTATTAATGACCATTGTGAGACAGAGAACTCTGAGTGCGATGAGTATCACATGTATTATATTGAACAATAATCAGTGTAGCATATGTATTTACAAAAGGAAGTTAGCATGTCGATTTAAACAATAGAATCGTACTAATTAAATGAACTTATGAAACGTATGAATAATATTATTAAACCTATCTGGATTAATAAGTTTTTTTATATACTGAATAAATACCTTGATATTTGCTTTCTTCAGTTACTTTGTGGTCGATCTTTGCCTAAATGGATAAATCGATTGGCTACAATTGGTTCCAAACTTCCATTTATTGAACGTACACTACCAGTTGAATGGTTGAAACCACATCAACAGGTAAAATTTCATTTATTTAATTGTCAATTCATATCATTATTCAACATTGTTTAGCTTACATATAAGTAATAATTCAAGTTGGAAGAAAATTTAATTCAAAATTATTTACAAACAGGTTATCGTACTGATATCCTATCAGCTATTTTATCTGTGTTTCATTACAAACGTTTTGGTATTGAGCTAGATCGTTTCTTCAGAAACAGTTTTATCATTACTTACTTACTCCTGTTACCCCTCATGAAGGAGTATAGGCTGCCCACTAGCTTTCTACATCCAACTCTATCCTGTGCAATCCTTTCCATTTGTCTCCAGTTGCTATTCATCCTTTTCATATCTCCTAATTCTCGACGCAATGTGTTCTTTTCCGTGTAATCATGCTCTTAGGAAATTTAAATAGAATATTTGTTCGACAATTGTTTGTGGTATGAATAATAACATAAAGCATGCGAAAATCCGATTCATAATCTTCTGTTAATTGTACTTCATAATTAAGTCTTAACATAGTCAAGATTTGAATGTCGAGCGAAATTTTGTATCGTTAATCGTTTCACATTTTATTATAGTAGTATTAATGGTACCATTTTTTTCAGTTATTTGATCACATGAAACATGTAAGCCAAGTCAAAAGTATACTGTTGGAAAACATGAAAGACAGTTCACCGAAGGCAATTTTCTCTTCGACAATGTTGTTTACTTTTGCTGTATATTTAGCTAAATTTTCTGAAAAAAATAGCAATCTATAATTAAATATAGAGATGGTTTTCATTGAATTTCTGAACCGATCAATGTTGGATCAATACTGAAAACCTGAAAGCGCTAGACGGGCATTTCTTACAAGTATGGGACTATCCAGATGTGGGTATCCACGACTCTGCACACGAGAATCAAACTCACGATTTTCGGTTTCTTGCACACTTCTGAGAAGTTCCATACTAAGATGAAATGGATGTCTAGTGCTTCCAGGTTTTCAGTGTTAGTTTAAAATTGATTAGTTCATAATTTCTATGAATCTCAACAATATCCACAACCTTATACTTATAATAGAGTTATAAAAAGTGGTCAAAAGATTTACATATGAAATATAGTAGTCTGTAAATCAAATAGGTGTTACTCGGTTTAAAATTATCCAGAATAAAAGTCTTATTGCAAAAATAACCGAAATCCAGTTTGAAAGCTTAATTTGTCAAATAAAAGATCCTATCTCTATGTTCAACAAGAAATCTGAGCTAACCAAAACAACCGTTGTAAATTATTATTATCAATACACGAATACAATGTCTATCTTTTATTCTGAATGATCGATAGTTTTCTTTTTACTTCTTTCCAAAAAAATTTTTAACAACTATTAGTTAACTGCTATTACAACCGTTATGATCATTCTGTCCGTCATATTCATTTAGTGGATGATGTGGACAGAGAAACAAGAAGCTTTGACAAATTACGGAAGCTATTTTTCGGGACGTTATTTCGTTTAATTCAAAGGTTGTAAAACAGTGACATTTATTTTTGTCCCAAGTCTATTCTACGTATCATAAGTTTTCGTTCGATGTATGATTCACTGCTGTAGCCCTTTTCTGTTCCAAAGCTATTGTAATCTAAACATAATATTTTGTACTCTATTTTCTAATCTAATTCCCAGCTTTGGACATAATTGTATTTTCCTAATTATTGTACGTTGTGGTCGGGTTAGTCATCTATTTATTTATGTACCTTTTTACAATAATCCGAAATCGGGAACCAGATCAGAATTGAGAATGAATCGAGTAGTGTTCCAGTTGATTTGTCTTCTCTCAGTTGCGTGCTTGTCAGCCAATCAGGTGATCGAATAGTTTTTTTCTCTCTACCCCACTTCGAACTCATGCATACTAGCTTCAACGTTAAGCCGGTTAGCCTATCGCGTCAAGGTTTTAATGTAGATTAGACAAGTTATCCTCAGCACCAAAAGTGAGTAGACAGATCAACGACGTAACAGTGGACAACTGTCATTCTCGTCTATAAACTTTTATCCAAACATATTCTTTACATAACTTCCATTTAACATTTTAAACAACTTATGATACTATAATATTTTAATCATGATAACCGTTTTGAATGACTCAATAGACTTCTATTTTATCATAGAGTACTATGTTGTTGTTGTTTTCTTTTTAATTAACTATAAATGTGATTGTACAGCTCAAGTAAACAACAGCATCAAAACGAAGAGTTTCTTCACTAAATTATTCTTTAAGTCTTCCTTCATAAAACAATGTGTTTCTTACATTTTTGTATCAATAAGTAAGTTGGATTCGAGTTTCTCTGTAATTAGTTTGTATTATTTGTTTGAATCTTCCCATTGATGTTTAGGACTGCAATTGATCAGTCTCTTATTGGAATATGTGCATACTGTGCAGATTGCCTCGATATTGCCTTAAGTCACAAGCACTATAAGCAAAGATGGATAGTGGCTAGCAGTGGAATCCAGGACGTACGTTTCGTCTTACTTTGTGACTCGTCAATCAGATGCACTTACATTCCAAAGTTGATGTTCATTCCAGAATAATGCGATGGCGTGTTTAGCGAACGATACTGGGTTCGAGTCCCGTAGTGAACATCAACTCGAATATAAGTACACTTGGTAGACAAGTCCTAAGATAGGTGAAAACGCGCGTTTTGGATTCCACTGCTAAACCAACATTCATCTTTGCTTATAATGCGTGTGACCTATTTGTAATTATGTTTGTCAAATCGATACATGGTGAATGGAAACCAGGTATATATATATATATACAGAGCTTTTCTGTGTACCTACTACTCATGTGACCATCGATCTACATAGGAATTACTCAAACTTATTAAATTTAATTTATTTGTATTTCACAAGTTGAAATCATGAGCCAATTGAAGCTAGACCATTATGGAAAACCTGGAAGCACTGGACGGCCGTTTCGTCCTAGTACGGGACTCCTCAGCAGTGCGCATCCACGAACCCGCCCCCCGCGGGATTCGAACCCAGGACCTACTGGCTTCGCGCGTGAGCACTTAACAACTAGACCACTGAGCCGGCCGGCATCCAACGGTGTTAATGTCTAACTTCAACCAATCCACGAAGTTGCGCCACCGTACACCATTGTTTTCAGTGAGTTCCTATCTCACAACAGACCTGGCTGAACTCCACTGGTAACGACTTCTCACTAGAACTCCTGAAGTCAGTCACCAGTGAGCAGGTGATTTTATTATTATTATTATCAGAATGGGTTTTGCGGAGATTTTTAGAAATTTCACAAGTTGAAATCATGAGCCAATTTGTATTTCTCTATTCTATTTTTACTTCGAATAGATTAATAATCATATAAATAAAGTCGAAAAATATGACAATGATATAGAATGTATGGAACAATCAAATCATTTAAATATACAGACTACTTCATTGCCTAATATCCGAAGAATTAGTACTATAGAACGTTTACAAAATTGTGTACATCGTTTACATAAAGGAAATATACATAAACGTGAACAAAATCATCATCATCATCATCCTCATCATTTAATAAATTCTATAAAATCTGATACATATTCATTAATTGATATTCCATTGAATGAAAAAACACAAATAGATTATCATTTATATTTATATTTAACACAATATAAAACATTCAATAAATCTAATTCTAATGATGAATACAATAAAAAAATAAATCCTTCTGTTACTATGACAAATAATACATTGAATATGAATACAAATCATTGTATAAATCCTCAATTTTCTGATGATTTATTGACAAATAGAATAATATCATCTCATGGTATTTCATTATCATCATTATCATTAAATCATATTGATAACACTTGTCAATCTATAAAACGATCTCAATCTATTGCATTTGATCATATCTATCAAAATAGATAACAATGAATATTGAAAAAGAAAAGTAAACATATTTTATCTTTCATAGAAACTTATTCTCAGGAAAGTAATTCACAGATTCATAGTGATTTTTTTTTCATTGATTCTAATTGGTTTTGTATTAATTGGCACAATTTAGCTCAAAATTTAATTGATATAAATTGATGGTTTATTTTTCACTTTTCTTTTCCCTTTTTTTCTCTCTCTCTCGTATTTTCTTCGTTACAATATTGATTGATTGTATTGTTGTATTGTGTAGATCTACCATTTCATACATAATATACATTTTTTTTCTACATTTTGACAATAACAACAACAAAAAGAAATACACGAAGAAAATTATTCAAATATAAAAAAGGAATGAAAGTTTTAATTGTTTGATAATGAGACTATGATTGATGGACAATGTTGGAGTAATGCTAAAGTGATTTTGAGAGAGTGTTCCCCTAATAACTAGGACCAAATGATGGCTATAATCCAGTGTGTAGAATTAGAATTATGATTTACATTTGATGGTTAAGGTTTGGGATTCGATTTACAGTTTTCATGCCAAAATCTAAGACATTTTTCATTGTTATACCTTATTGGTTCGTTCATAAATTATAGTCTCGTCAATTGTTTGTTTATTTTTTTACCATTTACTATCGAATATTTGTTTAAACAGAAAAACGCATATGCACACATAATACATATACATGACGGTTGTCAACCTTCAGTTGTTTTGTTTTGTTTTTCTCTAGTAAGTAAACAAATAGAACTATAAATTGTATTTTAGATATTTTCTAAAAGAAAAGAAGAACAAGAGCTTTACATATATTCATAACAAGTAAATAAACTTGTTTCCATTGAATTTGTTCAATAAATCTGTTTTACATATTATCGTTTACTCATTTATTACATAATTCATAATAGTTGTATTCTTATTTTTTTCAAAATTTAATCAATATATATTTATATATAATTGCTGCCATAGTTTCTGTTTTGGTATTTCTTTTTTCTTTAGTTCATATGACAGGTTTCTCAATTCTTTCCTTTTAATCAATTAGTATTAATATAGTTTTTGTTCAAATCATTTTCTTTTTTCTTCTTCTTCTTCAATCATTTATGTTATAATTTATGTAACTATCCGAGCATCATGTCAAAATGTTCAATTTTCAAACAAACAAAAAAGAGCGGTACAATTTAAATTGATCAATATTCAATTGTTTCTTTAGTTTCCTTTTTATGTTGTTTTAATAATTAATGATTTAATCTAATTATATTGGTATTGCTGAATTTAAGATCAGTTCATGGTTATTTGACAGTATTGTTTTCTTTTCTTTTCTTTTCTTTTTTAATGGATTTTTTTATATATTTGTCTTTCAAAAAGAAAAAAATATTCACCTTTGAACTCAAACTCTAATGGTAATGCATTTATGTGTTTATTCATATTCAATTTAAATGGTTTAAACAAAAATTAATGGAAGTTTATTTGTTTATTGTATCTGTCAATCAGTTTTGTTTGAATGTTGTTGTTGTTGTTTTTTTTGTTGGTTTGTTTGTTTGTTTTTTATTTATTTTGGATTATACGTTTGATTAGTTCAATTTAGGTTTTCTTTTCAACAAAACAAACTGTATTATCCATATGCGTAAGTGTATTGTTAATATGGTTGTTATTATTATATATAGTTTTCTTGTCTTTTCATCGATGAGAAATAATAAAACAAGAACATGACTATATAGTTGTAATGATCAATAAGTTGAAATCAAGATTATTCTTGAATTCATGAAATAATTGAAGCTAGACTATCATGAAAAACTTGAAAGTACTAGTAGTATAGCTTTAATTGACTCATGATCTCAATTATCTCCACAAAACCTCTCTGATGATAATCATCATATGCTCACTAGTGACTGTCTCCAAGAGTTATTTCCTGAAGTTTTAGTAAGAAGCAGTGACCAGTGGATTTCAATTGGGTCTGTTGTAAGTTAGTAACTCACTGAAGACAATAGTGGACGGTGGCACGATTTCGTGGATTGGTTAAAGTTAGGCATTAATACCGTTGGATGCCGGCCGGCTCAATGGTCTAGAGGTTAAGCGTTTTCGTGCGAAACTGATAGGTCGTGGGTCTGAATCTCATGAGGCGGGAGCGTGGATGCGCACTGTTGTGGAGTTCCATACTGGGGCATAACGGCCGTCCAGTGCTTCAAACTTTTCCATGGTAGTCTAGCTTTAATTGACTCATGAGTTCAATTGTTAAATCTCCACAAAATTCTTCTCTGATCAAAATTATTCTTTTGAAAATGTGTTAATTCAAGAAATTGCAGTCTGAATGGTACTGAGCTGCCGAATTCCCTGGTACGGCCGAGAGTGGGCAGAGTCCGCTCTTCCTCTCGAAATGCTCCCACATGGTCACGCTTATACAGCCACTGCCAGAGAAATCCTACTCATTGCCTTCTCGTGGCGGGGGTGTTGTCTACGAAATTGAGAGGACGAAAAGCGAATGTCCGGCGCTTTAACCGGATTGGTGGACACAGAGAGTCCACCTAGGGGAGTTGGGAAACCTTGATTCCAAACCAATGGTGCACATGGGCTACAATACCCTGAAGGAACAAATGGCGTATGAACCAATGGTTGGTGATCGGCTTCTTTGGGACTGCATCTCTTTACGATGCTTCACTGCCTTGTGGATCAGACCTTCATGTCGAAGGCCTCGAGTGTGGCCTCCTAAGAAAACTACTCTCTTCGGTTTGGGTACCTAGACAGTATCACAGCCCTCACGCAAATCAAACGAGACCTGTGTGACGCATATGTATTTGGTGCCTCCTTGTACCAATATCTATGTGTTAAAATAAATAAATAAAAATAGAATGGTACTGATCATATGATTTAACATACTTTTAGACTATAGTTGTCTGTCTGTGCTAATAAGAAGAAATTAATTTTGACCTACTTATTAATGCAGAGTAATTCGGAAGTTTATCTGATTACGATTGAATAAATCATGTAACATTTAAAGATTTATATATAATGTTCTAAAATGTACAATCTTAATGTGTATTATAGTGAATTGATAATAATCAACTGTTTGTTATTAAATTTGATAGAAACTTATATCAGTTTGACTTACTCTTTCCCAGATAGTTATGTAATAAAACATCTAAGTTGTTTCAATAAGTGCTTTGAGTAGATTTGTTTGAAAGGAATTTTTGTCACAGATTGACATAGACTAGATAACTATTAGAAACCAGGTAGTACTTGATATTTGCATTGGTTGATCATCGATTCGTAATTAGTTCGTTTTACCGACTAAATTTTATCAACCATTTTGAAGTATGACCAATAGTCTAATCGGCTGGGTATTCCATACATTATGTTTGAATGATATTTAGTTAAATTTAAGCAATAAGAAACTTGAGCTTACGTTTTGTGCTAATCAACTATCGATTGGTTTTATGTAGGTGTAAACTAATTGTATTGACTGATCACTGAGTATTACCAATTGGTCCTGTATATAAAGTCTTAATTGTTCGATTCAAATTACTTACTTACGCCTGTTACTTCCAGTGGAGCATAGGCCGCCGATCAGCATTTTCCAACACACCCTGTTCTTCTTTTCTAGTTCTACTCAATTGTTGTTCATCCTTCTCATGTTTGTCTCCATTTTTCGGTGTAATGTGTTCTTTAATCTTCCTCTTTTCTTTTGGCCTCGAGGATTCCAAATGAGGGCTTGCCTTGTGAGCATAGTTTAAAACTAATTTTTCATAAGCTACCCTCATCTGATTTTACAAAACTAAATACCATTAGAAATAAGCACTTCGAATTTATGACTACTTTTTGAGGAAAAATATAAGAACTGAATATGTTTAACATACTCGGATGTTTACTAACAATTGTATTCACAACTAAATTAGGTCAACATAAATTTTCTATTTTTTAGATCATTTTTAAACAATTTTTCAAGTTTGAATAAAGATAGAATAAAAGTAGTAACAGAATAACATGGATTCATCTATTTCCTTAGATGTTTACAATATAGAAACATTAGTATAAATCCACTTGGTATTGTTTGCTTGTATCTTCTCATTGTTATTTAGGACTGCAATTGATTAGTCTCCCATTGGCATACTTGCATCGTGTGCTGATTGACTTGATATTGTCTTAATTCACAAGCATTATGAGGTAGGATGGATAGTGGCTAGCAGTGGAATCCAGTTTGACGCGCGTTTTGTTCTGTTTGGGACTCATCCGTCCTTGCATATAGTGAATACATAGATGTAAAAGATTTAAAATCCTATCAAGTAGTATTGTTATAGCTCGTTTCATACTCACCCTAGTGAATTTTATACATACTTATAAATAATTCTGCAATATGGAGCTGAAACTTGGAAAACTGATATAACAACCTATTTGTGCAGAGAACAAACTAACTTACGTCTGGAGTAGAAACTAGGCGAAGACACTGGTGGTAGGTAGGACATAATTTGCGAAAGTCATCAAAGTGGATCATGAGGTGGGAATTTTGAAGGTAAAAGGAGAGGATAAAACCCAAAAAACACTTTGTGTCAAGAATTGAAGGCAGTCATCAAAAGAATGAATATCAATTGGGAAAAACTAGAAAGGGTTGCTCGCGATGTAATTGGAGTATCGTGGTTGTAGAATCCTAATGGGCGGCTTATGCTCCTCCACCGACGTAACAAGAGTAAGCAATTAATGTAAGGAGAAATAATAATGGTCGATCTATCGAAGCTTCCAACTGCATGACTAAGATACACATGAAACCAAAGTTCAAAAAATAACGATTTGTCTAAAGAACAGTTCTATTATTAAGGAATATACATAAATTTGTTACAAATCTTAACTCGTAAGTTATTTGTGACAAACAGGGTGACTGCATGTCTGGAAAGATGAAATCTTCTTGTAATGTTGATACAAAGAGTAATCATAACATGTTAACGTAGATGACAACTGATAACTATGTCTAATGTTAACAACAACTGATCAATGACCAATATGGATGAGGTCGCATTTAAGTATAGATTTAAGGAATTAAAAAATGGATATAACTGCTACAAAGGTTGAGGGATGTTGATTAAAATGATAAATACAGGAAATGCTATTAGTTCATATAAATACTTCAAAATACTAAGTGGTAATAAAAGAATGTTGCACCATACGTTCAGAAATTATTAGATATAGAACTGGTTACTGAATATTGATAAGTAGTATAAAGCGATACATAAATAATGGATGAGACGAGAAGAGGATAAACAGAATGAAATGACGTGGCTAAAATGAGGAGGAAACGGCTCAATAAGAAGTTCAATAATCGAAAACCTTATGCACACAGTTCGCCCAATCAAGACTGACTCTGCATTCAAAGTCATCTACAAGGTAAGTAGGTGTCTTTCAAAGACAAATTGCATCATCTTTGCATTGCCCTAGCAATGGCCATACATTTGGAAAAACCAGAATTGTGTGTGCAAAATAGATTGATACAACCTCTTCTTCCATAGTCTTAATTCTACAATGAAATGAACTTAACGGTTATCATTAATCGCTTTCAGGATGTCACTTTGGGTCTATAGACCGTCAAACAATTCTGTGAATGAAAAGAACTGGTTTGAAAAAACAGCCATTCAATCCTACCATTAATAAGAAAACAAATATGTCATTCAGTATTGAGTTACATTTCTCAGTTTAGGCGCTTAATTTATTGATATTGATAAGTAGACATTACTAAATCGTTGATTAATTAATATCACTTACTACTGGTTCGAAGTATTCAAATCTATCTAACGGCTGGATATTCAAAATCACCCATCGCGTTGTAATTTTCTGATGTCATTGTGATTAGTTGTGGATTTATGGTTCACGTATACTAAAACACTTAGTTTTTACTACTTGCGTCGAGCAATAACAGTCTTTGTTTTGTAATTACAATAAGTGGCAGTATCATCACTTTGTTAGGTTGTTAGATTTATCGTCGTTTTTTAATTGTTACACTGTTTGTCAGGCTCTGATTATCATGAAACAACTTTATTCTAAGCTCACTCGACTGAATTCGGTTCGGATAATTCATTAGTATCCCCATATCTTTGTCACAAAGTGTGCGATGCATGATATCTAAGTCTGTATTTGGAAAATCACCTGAACTACTTGTAGATTGAAAATCTAGTGGTTTAAACACTCAACTTTATGTCACAAAGTTGGAGATTCGAATCACATAAAGTATGTATCAAGGATATAAGTAGGGTCACTAACCCTCAGGTGTGATAATGGGAGACAGAGTAAATTACAAATCCCTTTACCCAGTCTTGAACTGACGAACTATGTGACACATTATTATGACCCGAATTTGTGTGTGAAACAGAATTTTATTTTATATAATTCATAAAGGCAAACGATCTTTAGTTTTTACGTTCCTTAAGTAAATTAAAGTCAGTCTTTATTGTAAAGTAATGCGTTAAACGCCTTGAGTGAATACGGGATAATTTGGGCTTTTATACATTATTATTATTATTATTATTAGTACTGACTTTATCATATTTTTGGCACAATATAAAATTCCCAGCACAAAGTATTTCATTAAGTTTCCTCTCACCACTTAGATGCTAGCAGTTAAGGAATCGAAATCCGAACAATGGTCATTCTTTTCAATGCATATTGACATCCAACACAATGTCTCTGATTGTACTTTTTGGTATGTTGTACGATGAAAGATTGTAAACTTTTCATAAACACGACTAAATAGGTTATGTAAATAAAGGTCATAGTGATGTATTAAAACAAACAAAAAATAGTTAACTTGTTGATATATGTTGACGTCAGAAACAGGTAGCGCAGATATTCAAGCATGCCGCCAAAGTATAGACATCAGTAAACTATTTGTCTACTTCTTTTCCATATGGATCTTCTTTGGATAACTTCAATTTTTATCCCTTTTTGAACCAGAGGTGTTTTATCCATAAAAATAATATCCAACACATCCTTAAATTAAAGATAATGTGGTGAACGAGAACACAAGTGGGGACAACCGGAAGTATTTCAACACAAAATTACAGAATACATTAGTAAAATCTGAGAAACATATAGTAAATACTTCATTTGCGAAATGTCAATCAATTGTCTCAGACTTCATTGTTCCTTCGTTTCCACACCAAATCATCCTCTGTTCTCATTCTTTTTTCCTTGATCTTCCTAACTTTCTACCGCCAGGTAATTCACTTCCGAATGATGATACATACCACTTATATCTATCAACATCAATAGAACACACTACAATAAGCGCTCGTACGTGAGACTGATAGGTCCTGGGTTCGAATCTCATGAGGAAGAGTCGTGGATGCGAACTGTTGAGAAGTCCCACAATAAGACGAAACGACCATCCAGTGCTTTTAGATTTTCCATATTGGTAATCTGGTTTCAATTGATTCATGATCGTAACTATTGAAATTACAATAATATTTATTTTATTTCATATCAGAGTTATGTAACCTCATATTTCCCAATTTACAATTCTAATTTTTTTTCTCGTTTTTTTGGAAATATAATTTAGTTGAACTAATCAAAAGATTTACTAAATCCGTTAACTTTCAGTCCATGAAAACAATCAAAGAATTTGAAATGAAATACTCATTTATTATTATAAATTAAAAGTTTGATTATCACCTAAATATATTCAGTTTATACATAAAACTATTAATCATTAAGATCCATTTAGTTCTTTGGTTTGTATAATAAATGGATTGACCTTAAGTATGATAATGCAAATGATGTTTTTATATAGATGGATGGGGGGAGGTTGATGAAGAAAGATTTCCATCTGAAGACTATCCTCTTATTTTTGAATGAAAGATAATACAGTATTGAAAGTAAACAGCCTTTTTTCCACTTTATTCCTATCGTTTTTACAATAAATTTATGGTAATTTCAATGGTTGAAATCATGAGTCAATTGAAGTTAAACCACTATGGAAAACCTGGAAGCACTAGAAGGTCGTTTTGTTGTGATATGAAACTCTTCAACAGTGCGCATCCATGATCCCACCTCGCGAGATTCAAACCTAGGACATATCGGTCTCGCGCATGAGCGCTTAATCTCTAGACCACTGAGACGTCACCCAACGGTAAGTCAGTTTGTATAATGCTGAAGAGTTCCACAACAGGACGAAACAGCCGTTCAGTGCTTCCAGGTTTTCCATGGTGGTCTAACTTCAATTGACTCATGATGTCAACCATTGAAATTACTATAATATCCACAAAAACCCTTCTGACATGAATAAATTTATGAACTAACTATTCATCACATGAACCTTGTCACATTAGTGTAATTTTACTGAAAATACAGTATCCTTAATCCAATGTATTTTTTTCTTTTTATTATCACTGTCATTATCCTATGTTGTCATTTTTTGTTGTTGGTATTTTACTCCTCAGCTGGGTTTTCAGTTCCTTTATGCGGTGATGCAATCTGTACACAAACACATACACATACACACAATCACACGCTTATATATGCATAATAATGAACTATTCTACAATGTATTTGTTAACAAAGACCAAATTGATTACTTTCAGTATAAGTATGAAACAATTAATATGGGTAACAGATAGAGTAAGTTATTAGCATTGAATAGAATAGAGGAGAGTGATCACCATTTTTGTTTTCTTTATCCAAATCTATTGAATGTTTTAAAGTGCAGTTCGAATAGACAGGGGGTGAATATTATTGAATGGGTTCTTATTCTTGAATGTATACATATTCAAAGATTGCTAGAATTTTGAAGAATGACAATCATCTAATGGATAGCATAGTAGAATATTTATTAACGAGTTTTTGGGGTTTTATTCGACAGTATAATCATGTAAATAATGGTGAAGAGAAAAAAAAAAGATTATAGGGATGGGATGAATGTGAATTGGAACCTGAATAATTAGATACAATGAAAGTGTAGTATTAAACAATTGCATATAAATGCATATATGATCATTTCTACACTGTTGAAAGAAGTGGGGGAACAACAACAACAAAAAAAAGAAGTATTTGCATATATAAGTTCATATCCCATGATGGTCACTATCAACAAGTCAGTGAGTGAATAAGGGAACCATAGTAACTTGAACTGTTTATATGAAGAGGAGTACATATATATATATAAGGAGATGGTGTAACCGGTGAAGAATTTTCAGTTGCATTTATCTTTTCAATATTTACTTGAGACAATGTTATTTCAATCAACGTTTAACACTCAGAATAATAATAATACTATTCGTGATAATATTATTAATAGTACACTAAATTATAACTCATATTGTTTCAATTCACAACTAAAAAGTTTTTCAGACCAAAATAGGTAAGTTAATTAGAGATTATTGTGAATTCTTGTACCACTCATTGTGTATATGTATATATATAACATTGTACAGCTATTTATACATTAGTTAGCCTATTGTTCAAATTCAACCATCAGTCAGCAATAACTTAGAACATGATACGTACGTACGTCAGTTCAAGTTGCCATGCCGCATTAGCACAGATATACAATTTTCGATTCAAATACTATAGTAGTAGAAGTAGTAAAAGTTTATTTCAAATTTGATTTTCAATTAATAATAATATTTCACTTGAGATTGTTTACGTGAATCTTCCCATTGATGTTCAGGACTGCAATCGGTCAGTCTTTTGTTGGTATATGTGGGTCGTGTGCGGATTACCTTGATATTGCCTTAATTCACAAATATGAACAACGATGGATAGTGGCTAGCTGTGGAATCCAGGACATGTGTCTTATCTTATTTGAGACTCGTCAGATGGGTGTACCTATATCCCAGAGTTGATGTTCACTTCCGGACTCGAACCCATTACCGTTCAGTCTAAATGCCATCAAGTTATCCACCTGGCTACTGAGTTCAGATAGCCACTAGCTTATGAAGTGAAGTTGAAATTTGTTTTTTATCCAGCTGACAAGTCCCAAATAGGACGAAACGCACGTCCTGGATTCCACTGATAGCCACCATCCATCTTTGCTTATAATGATAATAATAATATTTGTAGTCAACAATTTAGTTAAGATTAAAGTTGGTTAAGTATTTACTTTGTTGTATTTTATACATCTTTTCTTCAACACAAAATGCATACAGATAGTTTACAGGATGTTTCTAAATACTCATCAGTATGTAAGTCAGTTGAATGTTTACTAACTGTTGTGAATACGGTTATCTCCAATGTTTTATTAGAATAAATGTTATGTTCGAGTACAATCAGTCTTTAAATAGTGAAATGACGATTCTAACCCTACTCCAAATGTTTCCATTTAAATAAAGCTAAAACAAATATGAATTCATTATATTTCGTGGTTTCTCATTAGCTACAAACAACTAAATATGTATTGAAAGTTAACATTGAGGTAAGATATAATGTCAAACAATTGACATGATTGAATCAAAGGAATTGAAATGGCAAAGGTTATGTATATTCAAGAACAGGTCGGAGGTCATTTATTGTTAGAATCAAAACTACATGAGGAATGGGTGATGTAATAATTGAGTGAAATTCAGAGATAGATAAATTATGTGATAATGAAGAGTTTACACAAGATTCCTGAAATTCTTCTATTTATTTAACCAAGCAATACAATGTAATTTACTATAAATTCAATTATATGTATTACAATAACGATCAGTTATAATCACTAATTCATTGATTATTGATTATTATTTTAAAGATTTAAGTATTGATTCTGCATATAAACTATTAGATTTTTAAGTTGACCCATAAAATAGAAACCTGTAAATGATGCTTGTTAGAAATCCTTGGTAATAATTCCATATTCATTGCTTGCTTTAAACGTTAAAGATTCTTAATTCTTACATCTAATGACAATATTTGTGCAAGAAGGTTGATTATGAATACAGTGGTATTGAGTGATGTTAGAGTAATGAGGTCGATTATCATTTCCCGGTTGCCCACACTGTGGAAGGCTTCTTCTGGAGGTACCTGAAAAGGAAATTGGGTAAGAGGTGGTCTTAGTAACCTGAGAGCGTGACCGCAGTGCCCAAGGGACAACTGTGTGAGGTTGATCACACATGACATTTTTGTCAGTAGTCTTCGTGTTACCTCCGTACTTGTTGAGACCTAACCGCCGGAGACGGATATCCGTGGGATAAAGCGAGGTGTGCATTTTTAGGGTCGACCTTTTCTAACCCCACCCCTCCTTGTGGGTAGGCAGTATCGATGTTATGCTGATTGTCTAAAGGAAACACCTTACTTCTGTGACACCTCTGTACAATCAGTGGTGTGACTTCGCCCTCAGACCTTGGGTTTGTTGCTTTTAGTTTTACCGCTTTTCAACCGACCTGTCTGACATGGTAGAACGTTGAGGAATGGTTGCTCCAGTGAGTATAGCTCGATTGGTTCATCACAATAGGCAAGCCCGATCACCACGTCAAGGTAGCAACAACGGTCTGGAACCTAAATAATCAATCAGTTAAAGGGAATATTTTAATATGAGTCCTAAAATAACTCAATCTGATTGTAATAGAACCTTTTTACTCTTTACCTTTCTTCAAAAATTTAGTACCCTATTAACTCCTGATATAGCGTTATCATCTGCAAGCCAATATACATCTACACCGATCAATTTTCATTTGAATAGAACGGATGATTTCTCTATTAGACCAACATATTCTTCATCTACCTCTCCTATTATAAACAAATATGATATTGATGAAATTTTAAATAAACCTTCATTGAATTCATTCCAATCTAGTTCAGATGATTCGATTATTTCTACTACCGCTACTAGTACTACTATTACTACCCATACTATTACTACTACTAATAATAATATTACTGAAAGCGAAACAAATACATCAACAACGCATTTCATTGATAAACTTAGTAACTTCCCTAACGAAAACGTCATCTATCCTCAAATCAATTTACAAGATGAAATCGGCCAAGTTTTGTCATCGTCATCATTATCGTCAAAGACAGAAGTAGCCACAACAACAACAACAACAACATCAACTGTAGACTTAACAAAAACCACTAATCAAAATTCAATAATAGAAGATTATTTTTTTAACAATTTCAATTCATCAGATATTTCATTATTCTGGCTACCATATTTAAATAATATTTTCAATATGTATTCATGTAAGTTATGATAAACAAAAAACAATTTTTGTGATTGACTAATATAGACTTTATTAAAGGTTTTAGTTTGTTTTGCTTTTTTTCAAATGAGAAATTCTGTTTATGTTCCATTATGTATGCCTGTTACTCTCAATGGAACATAGGTCGCCGACCGACATTCTCCAACTCACTCTGTTCTGAGCCTTCCTTTCTAGTTCTATCAAATTTTTGTTCATTCTTCTCATGTTTGTCTCCATTTCTCGGTGTAATGTGTTCTTTGGTCTTCATCTTTTCCTTTGGCCTTGAGGATTCCAAATGAGGACTTGCCTTGTGACACAGTTGGGTACTTTCCTCAATATTTGTCCTATCGACTTACAGCACTTCTTCCTGATTTCTTCCACCACTAGAATCTGGTTTGTTCTCTCCCAAAGTAGGTTGTTGCTGATAGTGTCTGTCCAACGGATCCGAAGTATTTTGCGTAGACAATTGATAATAAACACTATATTTTCTTGATGATGGCTTTTGTAGTTCTCCACGTTTCCGCCCCATTCAGTAGAACTGTTGAACAGTATTGAGTCTGCATAACAAAGTTAAATGTTGTATGTTTTATTCAGACTGAAATCAAATATATGTAATCATAAGCTATTTGTACGCAATGTCATCAAGTACCTAATAACTGTTCAATGGACATCAGTTTGAAATGAATGTTTATTTATTGAATTGTATAACATTGTATTGAGTTTGATCAGTATTTTTTAAAACAAGTCTTCATTTGCTATACAAGTCTAATTGATTATGAAACTGATAGAGTGTGATAAGAATCCTAAATGAAAACAACAACCATGTTGTCCCACTTAAACGATTATTTAATGTGAAACATAAATCTATAATGAATAAATTGAGTTCAGTCTGTTAAACATAATGGTTGTCGGTTTGTTTAAGTTCTGGATATACGAGTAGAAGTATATAATTTCAGATGTTGATAATTGAATGAAAAAAGTTGGTAGTCATCTGACAAGTAGTTGGTTCTGAACTTAACAACGTTTTGTTTTGTCCTGAAAAATACGTCACTCTGTAAGATAAGAAATATAAGGATATATCATATCTTCTGAAATATTGGGCATTCTCAAGTTATAATGTAATTATATGAGATCTCAGTATTTGAATAATCCTGTAGATTCATTCCATTTCTTTTAGGTTCAAAAGAAAAACTGGAGGTTTTTATATGCTTTTGTTTGGTTCATAGAAAAGTTTCAATAGGCTCACAGTTCTTCAGAAAAAAGACAGTGTTTCGATCCGCCCCTTTCCAGCCAAACAAGTTGGTAAAGCCTAGTAGGCCATTCTGAAGAGAAACAGGCCACATCGAAACACGGCACGGGCTGAAATAGCTGTTTTTGCAACCAGTTGGAGTTTGCTTCGTAAGGAGCAACCCCGTACATTACATCACCGCTTTTGTCAATAATCCTTTTGTCGTTTTTCCATCCAAGATTTATTGTGCTGTGATCCTTTGTGGATTTCGTAATCGGTTTGATGGTATCGGTCGAGTGGGTAATTAGCCCGATCTCTACCACCCGTATCACTGCTCACGTTAGTTCATGGGTCATCCATCCCACTATCTAGTAGGCACTATGTGGATGTGTGAGTCAGGTTTTGCTTCCCGTTTCGATCCGCACACTCTATCTGTTTATGAACATAACTTATAAACTTTCTTAAAATATTAATGTTATAAAGAAGGATGGCTGCTACTCAAGGTGATTTACCGTGGACAAATTATTTATCTATATTGAATCTAAAATGAGGAATGTGTTAAGCGAGAGAGATCATACTAATATCTAACAATTTTCATACAATCAGTTATGGATTAATCACTGTAATGTGCTGCTCGATTGAATTTATACAATATCTGACCACTCAACAATTTAAATACACCGTATCAATACAAGTATTCTGGATCATTATTTTAATTTGTCTTAAGCGTATGACAGATCTTCATCTGTCTTCTTTGCTTTTCTTGGCATTTAGTCGAATCACTTATCCATCATCACTATAAACATAATTATATAAATTTTAACCAAACAAAACAATTAACAATATATACCATTTTCTGTTTAGTGACTTGGTTCAGTAAATAGTAGTGTGAAGAGTACCCAACTGTTTAGTTCTTATATAATTTGTATGAAGGGCTTGTGGAGATTGTTGAATTGACATAGTCTACATCATGGACTAACATTAATTAGTTGGGTAATCAGTGTAAAAATCGAGAAGCACTGAATTACTGCTTTGTTTTAGTTTAAGACAACTCAGTAATGAGTATTCTCTGGGTACTAGGCCCAGGACCTTCAGGTTTTGTGGTAACAGTTTAACATATGGAAGTCGAATACACTCACTGAATAGATTATAACTTTGATGGAAACTTGATATTATTCAAAACTCTTACTTTTAATCTAAAAAAAATTGATGGTAGATTCACAACTACTTCAAACAGTCACATCGTTTTCATTGCTTTTCAATGATTCTTTTTATTATAAAAGATGTATAGTAGATACTGTTTGAATATCACTTATTGTCTATCTTCAAATAGTTTTTATACTTCCTCTTCAGCTTCATTGATCAATCCATCTCAAATGACAAATTTTAATCAGGCAACTATTAATTGGCGTCTATGGAGAACTCTTTTAAGATATTTAATGTTAAATGAAAATGGTCATAAACAGTTTGATGATGATGCTACATCAATGTTTTCTTTACCTTACTTTTTATCAACTCCTACTCCTATGACAATACCAGTAAATAATGTGAATAATTTCAATTCAGTATATTTATGTAATTGGGATCATTTAATGGATTTCTCATATGTACCCGATCAAAATGTTACATCAATTCAAACAACACCATTAAATCTTGCTATGAAATTGAATTCATCAGACTATAACACTACTATCTCTACTACAAGTGTGATTATTAATACTACTACTACAACTACTACGACAACTACATCTACTATTAATACTCCTATTAATTATTCACCGAATGGACTACATTTTACCAATACTCAAAAAGTGTTAATCACGCAATCACATAGAATAAAAAGTTCAGTTCAAGCATATGAAATGATCAATGAAAACAAAAATATTTTCACAAGGTATGTAAAAAAAAGAAAAGGTTGAAACATTTTTCCAGTGGAGTTCAACTGGGTCTGTTGTGAGATAGTAATTCACTGATGACAATGGTGTATGTGTCGCTCAATTTCGTAGATTAGTTGAAGTTAGACATTAACACTGCTGGATGCCAGCTCACGTGCGAGACCGATATGTCATGGGTTCGAATCTTGCGAGGCGGGATCGTGGATACGAACCGTCGAGGAGTCCCACAGTAGGACGAAACGGCCATCTTCTAGGTTTTCCATGGTGGTCTAGCTTCAATTGACTCATGATCTCAGCTACTAAAATTGGTAATTGATTTGTTTTTCAAACTTGCCAGAATGCTTCCATCGTTCAATTATGCTAAGTGATGAAAATGTTAAGAAGGAGTTGATAAGTGATATGCTTTACAACCATAACAGATCATTGGTGTTTGCGACAGATCACTATAAAAAGTAGACACTTACATCCATAATGAAGAAAATTGTTAGACCTGGAATATCTTTATGCATGGATGATTAATGCATAGAAAGCTTTTTTCAACTTTGGATGTAGTCATCAAATTCTCATTCTCAAGATACATTTATTTGACCAATTGACAGGATTATGCATAGACAACATGAAAGGAATGTGGGCTTGGTTAAAGCACTTTTAATGTTTCTAACTTACCGTACTATGTAGTCATTTGGACTAGTTGATATATCGTTTTATTAGGTTTTTAGATAAAGATATTTGTACATAAGCATAACACTTTCATTAACTATATTAAATGTTTATAATCTCTGTAGTATAGTCCCGCTCACGGGACTCGAACCTAGGATCTATCGATCTCGCACGTGAACGCCTAACCTCTGGACTACTGAGCTTGTATCCAACGGTATTAATGTCTAACTTCTGTTTAAACAAAATCTTTGTGCTTAAAAAAGGAATTACATGTTGTTATTTTAGATCAAAAACTGAACCCATATCAACAACATTATCAATGAATATTAAAAAATCAATTTATAAATGTTCACATTGTGGTCGAGGATTTAGTAAAGCATATAATAGAACAATACATGAACGTACTCATACAGATGAACGTCCATTTGGTTGTGATGTTTGTTCAAGACGATTCAGACGAAAAGATCATTTAAGAGATCACAGGTAATTGAATAATTCATATACTTTTATTCTGGAAATGATAGTTATTAGAGTCATGTTAAAATATTGGTCTGTCAAATCTCTAGCTTGGATAAGAACTTATTTTGAATATGCATGAATTCTTGCATACGTGTTTTTTTAGAACGAGTGATTATAATCACTCATCAGTTTATGTATATATAACTATCAAGCTTTGACTTAACAGTCTAAAATAACTCAGCGAGTTACAACGTAGGACCAGGTATATATATGAATCGGTCCAAGTTGCCATACCTCATTAGCACAACAAGATGAACACCAAATTCATAGAAGTAGTCACTTAAATGGTAGTAATGTATAAAAGAAAGATTGCATATAAGTATATAGTACAGGAAGAAAGAATTAGTTCGTAGGAAGAAAGATATGAAGCGATTTTAATCACACAGTTTAAAGGAAGACAGGTAGTGTATACACCGATGCCATTGTGATCAACGCTGAGCCATGTCAACCAGAGTCTTCAACCAAGTAGTATGCATCTACCAACATGGCTAAGACTAGAAGTTAGTGACTTCAAGCACTGAAATAAACTAAGCATTGAATCAATGGTTGGTAATCTCGAAAATAAAAATACATTTGTTTTATTCTATTGAGTAGGAAGCTGAACTTCTTCAAAGAATAAATCATAGGATCCACCAGTAAGTCTATATTTTTCATCTACTGAAACACATTAAAAAAGAGGCATATAGAAATTCAATAGAAGTGGTCACATAACTTAATATCATAGTCAAGAGCTATATCAATTCTTCCTGTAATAACTAGTACCATAAAGAATAGTAGTAGTTTGACCAAATGTCGGATACTGGATTAAATCATATAACTTGTTCCTAACCACTTAGTAAACATGTATAATTTCTTACTGGCATAGTCTTACATTGTTCACTAGACAACTCGTTCATCAACACTATGTACAAAAAGCAAAGATGATAGTCAAGAGACATAAAAAAATAAGTCCAGAGATTCCTCACACTTTTTCTTCAATACCAGTATAGTACAACAGTAAGGCCTAATGACTACATTTTCGACTCGACTGGTAGAATACATCTTTGACATTGAATATTATGCAACAGTGTATACTTTCAACCTGTTGATCACTTCAAATCTTTAAGTTAACTGCAAGTCTTATCATAGTTATGATTGTAGAAATGGTTCATTATGCTAAAATAATTGTTTTGAACAGTGTTAAAGGTATAGTCAGTTATCTTATATGTTTAATAGTTGTGTAGATTGACTACATGTAAGTTTTCTGATTTCTTCCTATCTATTCTATGAGGATCATTTTACGAAATGAATAGCTGATAGAGCTGTGAAATTGTTAAGAATAAACCATAAATAATAATGACATACTGACCGCCTTATTTTCAAGTGGGTCTCTATGATAATACTGCAATCCATATAGAAATAAGTCAATACAAACATGAATATAAAACATGGTGGATAGTTTTTATTTAGTAGATGAATCATTCATGTTTAATTTAGATTTTAAATTATCCGCATGAGGTTGTGGAGATTGCTATGTTTTTGATTGAGATCATGAGCCGATTGATGTCAGACCACCATTGAAAATCTGGAAGCACTGGACGGCCATTTCGTCCTACTGTGGGACTCCTCAGCAGTGAGCATTCATGGTTCCGCTCGCGGGATTCAAACCTAGGGCCTTAGTGTCTTGACAGAAGTCAAGTGACTTTTCTGTAATGTCAAAAGTGGCCAAGTTAATATTCCGTAGTATAAAACTGTCAAAGATATTTACATGATATACTTCTCATAAAATCTGGCAAAATATTTATGGGCATGTTATCTACAAAAAGGCCAACAAGTAAACTGTTGTCTTATTTATTTCTACTGTTATTATACTACGACCGTATGTGGTACTAGGTTTCCACTGTACAAGTCGTAACACTATCTCTTTTCATCATAGAAATAACCATAGACTTATGTGATTCAATGGAAATAGTGAAGAAAAAGACAACAGGTATAGAGATCTTAATTCCCAACGGTAATCCATCAAAACTGTCGTAATACACAGAATTTTTTAGGTTTAACTGATATAATATTGGTTATTAGTTAATGAATAGGATTTAGCTCAGTAGTAATCGATACAACTAAGAAGGATTGCCCAGGACAGGATTGGATGAAGAGCGCTGGTGGGTGGCCTATGCTCCTCCACGAGGAGTAACAGGTATAAGTACTCAATACTGGTTATTCAATGGATTGTTATTGAATATAATTAGCGAATTTTGAAAAAACGACAATTAACATATAAAAAAGAATGACTGAGCTATATACTTGCTCTATTTTAACAAACATAAATGACAATTTTTGTAAGCGATGATGGATAATGGCCAGCAGTGGAATCTAGGACGCTCGTTTCATCCGATTTGGGACTCGTCAGCTGGATGTGCCTGCATCTTAGAGTTGATGTTCACTCTGAGATGCAGGCACATCCAGCTGACGAGTCCCAGATCGGACGAAACGAGCGTCCTAGATTCCACTGCTGGCCACTATCCATAATTGCTTACAAAAAGCTTGTGAATTAAGGCAATATCGAGGCATACACACAGTATGCACATATGCCAATAACAGACTGATCAATTGCGGTCTTAAACCCCAATGGGAAGATAAAGTCAAACTATACCAAGTGAAATAAATGACAATTGTTTTCATGTTTTGACCAGAAAAAATGTACTTTCATTCAAGCTAACATCAAAACATTTGTGGTTTAAAGTTATCGTTCACACCTAGCCCCCTTATCAATGAGGAATTCTCTACACTCTTCCATTTTGAGCCCAAACTATTCTCTTGATTATTATTATCGCTATTATTATCAGTGTTTTAAGGTATATATTAAAGTCTATGATATGTTCTTTAATAACAACGAACTTAAGTTACCTTGGTACTATTAGTTTAGAGGCAAGTTCGTACATGATTTTGGCTGGAGATAATTTGTTTTTAGCGAAAGACCGTTTATATCTAGACAAATTGAGAGCACATTCGGATAGCACTTAAAATAATCACTATTCTTTTCAAATAATTATTATTGTACCCTTGAGATTTATCATTTGAGGTAGAGAATAAGAATCATAGTCGTTTTAATGTCAGTTGTTGTTATTCTTTTTTTTAAAAATAATTTTTGATTGAGATCGTGAACCGATTGATGTGAGACCATCACTGAAAACCTGAACGCATTGGATGACCGTTTCGTCCTCTTGTGGGACTTCTCAGAACTGCGTATCCAAGATCCAGCTCGCGGGATTCAAACATAGGGCCTCCAGTCTCGCGCACGAATGCTTAAACCTCAGACCAGTGAGCAGGCATCCAACGGTGTTAATGTCTAACTTCAATCAACCCACGAATTTGTGCGACCATCTTTTATTGTACTGAGGTAGATACCTGCCTCTACCCCACAAGGATTAGCTCCACTGATCACGGCTTCTCACTGGAACTCCGAGAATTCCCTCCCGAAGCTAGTCACTAGTTACTAGTCACAATGTGAGATGGTCGCGCAACTTCGCGGATTAATTAAGGTTAGACATTAACACTGTTGGATGCTTAGTCAATGGTCTAGTAGTTAAGTGCTTGAGTGCAAGGCTGAAGGCCTTGGGTTCGAATTCCACGAGGCGGGATCATGGATGCACTCTGGTGAGGAGTCTCACAATAGGACGAAACTGCCGTCTTGTGCTTTTAGGTGTTCAATGGTGATCTAACATCATTCGGTTCATGATTTCAATTTAAACAAAAACATAATTAATCTCCACAACCGCATAATGAAAAATTATTTTATTTTATTTTACTTTTTGTCATTGTTTTTTTTATTTTTTATTATTTAGCTACACTCATTTAACAGCAAAACCATTTTCATGTTCAATATGTCATCGAGGCTTTTGTCAATCACGTTCATTAGAAAATCATAAACGTTCAAACCATCCAATTAAAAAAGATGAAACCGGTACAAAATTCAATGATAATCATTCGACTAGATTGATTTATACAACAGCTAATATTATTCCTACAAATGACATGAATACTACTACTACTACTAATAATAATAATAATAATAATAATCATAATAATAATAATAATAATAATAATAGTAGTAGTAGTACTAGTACTAATATGAATATCTGTACTACAAATTGTGACGTGATCAACATAATAAGAAATAATAAGGCGGTATAAATACAATTTAAATAATGTATTCAACAATTGTTTTCATGGTTAATATTTTGGTTTGTTTTGTTTTAATGAATGAACAAAATGAAAAGAAAAAATATTTTATTCACTTTCTAATGAGTGATTCATGTGTTATTTAATTCATTTTCATTTTGATTTATCTTTCATTTCGTTTAAAGAAATAAATATATTTTATAAAAAGGAAAAGAAAATTAATTTTGGTTACTAAGCAAAGATGGATAGTGACTAATAGTGGAATTCAGGACGTGTGTTTCGTCTTAATTTGATACTCATCATTTAGTGTGAATAACAAATCTGAGATGTGGGCACATCCAGCTGATGAGTTTCGAATTGGACGAAATGTGTGTTCTGGATTCTATTGTTAACCATTATTTGTCTTTGCTTATAATGCTTGTGATTTAAGGCAATATTGGGGCAATGAGCACAGGATGCATATATGCCAATAAGAGATTGATCAATTACAGTCCTAAACATCAATGGGAAGATTGAAGTAAACGTTACCAAGTGAATTTATTATTAGTTAAATTTAATTTATCCTGGTATATTTATTACTTGAAAATAACACAGAATCTACACAAAATCACTGAATTGAAAACTATTAGTAATTACTGTATCCATCTATGGTTAGTTTTATAGATTTTTTGACATTTTAGCGGAAATAGCTGATATTTACTTACTGAATTACTTATGCCTATTATCCTTCATGAAGCAGCATAGACCGTTCACCGAGATTCTTCATCGAACTCTGATCTGAGTAATCCTTTCCAGTTGTTTCCAAATGCTATTCATCCTTTTTATGTCTGCTTCTAATTCTCGACGCAGTATACTGTTTGGTCTTCCTCTTTGTTGTTTCCCTTCAGGATTTCAAGTTAGCTATTACATTGTGATGCAGTTTGGTGATTTCCGTCATTTATGTCCGATCCACCTCCATATGTAGCTCTTGTATTGTTACTGCTAGTTTCAAGCCCCTGGTAAAAGAGGAAAATTGGGTATGGGGTCAGCAATCACATCCCGTAGAAAACGACCTTGCTAAAAAACGCTAACTAGAATAAACAATTTAAACCATTTAAATTTTGCCCTGAGGGTTGAAGGATTCTTATTCAAGTGATATTTGATGTTGGTTAATTCGTCGAAATAGTTATATATTGAAAAGATAACATTATATCACAAACTAACTGAAGTTAAGAATCTGTATCACTAAAGTGAAACAGTAGGAGAGGACATTTGTTCAGTTATATCTTGTTTGGATCAATTTACTAAGTGATGGTGAAATTCACCTCAAACTATATAAAATCCTATCTGAGACACTAAATAAAATCAGTTTCATTTGCTATGTATATATTCAAGATTTCAGAGTAATTAGATAACTTATCACTTACTATTATGATTTAAGATGGTGGTTGGATGTGGTCGATAGGAAACACTGGATCCGAGTTTTGTTACATTTGACATTCTTCAACTAGATACTCTGTTATCTTGAGGAAACAGATGCTTTCTGACGAATTCACCCAGCTTCACATCACACAGTGCACATGATGTTGAGTCACTTTAACAAGTCCTAGCACTGCAACTGAATTCATAGATTTCGATCAGTACAAAGAGGGACTTGATATGCGTCATATTAGTCACTACTCAGTGATTGACCAGTTGTAAGTGCAAGGATAAATATTTTTATTAAATGTCATTATGATGTAGGTGAAAATTACAGGTACTTACGTAAGATTCTTCAAAAGATTGATTGCCAGTAATGTTACTGTTGACACATTCGCATAGAAACGTAGTGTTAATCATCAGAAGTTTTTATTGTCCGTTATAAAACATTAGATTTAGCTAGTAATTGTTATGGCTCCAAAATCATTTAGTATCAATCACTGTAATGATGTGGTAGTATTTTATGTAGGAAATTAGTTATATTAGGTTTAAATTCATTCAAAGGGACACATAAATCTTTTTCAAGATGTTATATGTGTTTGTTAAGAAATAATTTCTTTATAAGCAAAGATAGATAGTGGCTAGCAACGGAATCCGGGACGTGCGCCTCATCCTATTTGGGACTCGTTAGCTGAATGTACCTGCATCCTAGAGTTGATGTTCACTCCGGAACTCAAACCCAGTACCGTTCGCTGAAAATATCATCGATTTATCCTCAAGTGAAAACCCACTCTGGGATACAGGTACATCCAGCTGACGAGTCTCAAATAGGACGAAACGCGCGTCCTGGATTCTACTGCTAACCACCATCCATCTTTGCTTATAATAGTTGTTAATTAAGGCATTATCGAAGCAATCCGTACAAGATGTACACATTCCAATAAGAGACTGATCAATTGTAGTCCTAAACATCAACAGGACGATTCAAGTAAACAATATCAAGTGAATCTAAATAATTTCTTTTGTTCTGCATTACTATTTGGATATTTTACATAGGATAACAATTATATGTATTGAACGTCTAGAGTTATCCAGGCAAGTGAACTGAATACAACAGTAAGCATTGATTACACCATATTTAATATCATTAAGAAGAAATACAAATATTTTCAGATAAACTGTGTAAGGACAAAACATTTGAAGTGACTAGTCATTGAATGTGAATTGTTTAAATGACCAATAATCCATTCATTCGCACCATTAAGTCTTTATATCTGTAAACTATAACTTCATTGATTGAAACGCAGTTTCATCATTACTGCTTTAATGACTAAATCACTGTAATTAATACAATGTATTTCCTTACTGACGATATCTGACAATCGTAAAGTATCAGGGTAGAGTGCTGTATGGTATATTTACTGTTTGTTCAGTCGATGAGCGTGTCTTACCGGGTTTCAAGTTGGTAATAAATAAGCAAGCTTTTGGCCTCATTACAGTAATGTTATTGCAACTTGCTAGTATAGGGTTGATGAGTAACTTAAATTAACAAAGTAGCCTGTAGGCGCAATCTCCTCACTTCTTACAATTAATCGAAGTGATGTTGTAGATCTCTTGAAGAATTATATATATTGCATATATGAAACAGATACCAACCATTTTCGGATATTAGGTGTTAAAACTATATTCTTTTCTTTTATAGTGACTCATTGAGGCTAACAATAGAAGCAAATATGCGCAGTATATTTAGGAATTTTTGAGTCTAGGCATAAAAATAACCTAATCGGTTGATAAATTAGTTGACAAAACTAATACTCATTGATTTAAAGGTCATAAGATCTTACTCAAACTTCGAGTGAATCTATCCTCATCAAATCTATTGATTCATAAAACATATTTACTAATTCTGTATTTTAATAGTTAAATTCATGAGTCGATTAAAGCTAGACCACCATGGAAAACCTGAAAGAATTCGATGGCCGTTTCATCCCAGTGGGAAACTCCTCAGCAGTTCACATCTACGATCTCGCTCACAGGACTCGAACCCAGGACCTTCTATTTACGCGCGTAAACGCTAAACCTGTAGATCACTAGGCCAGTACCTAACGGTGGACGGTTGCGCTATTTCGTGGATTGGTTGGATACTGGTTTAGTGGTCTAGAGGTTAAGCGTTTTCACGTGAGATCGAAAGTCCCGGGTTCGAGTTCAGCGAGAAAGATCATGGATGTTCACTGTTGGGCAGTCCCATAATGAGATGAAACGGCCGTCCAGTAGTTCCAGGTTTTTCATGGTAGTCTAGCTTCAACTGACTCATGATTTCAACCAGTGACATTCTGTATTTGTTATAATCACTTACTTAAAAAAACACTTATTTTTATACATACTGATGATGACTACTGCGTGTAAACAATCTAGGCCATCTCAATCAACAGTCTTTAAGTAATCTATTTGATTAGATTATTAGGTTTAGCAATTAAACAGATTTCATATTTACGATAGTTAACAAGTATTGTATCCAACCATCAATACCTTCTAATTTATGATATTAAAATAAATCATTTGAAATGAACCAGATTATTCTAAATGAAACATAACGAATGATATTTTTATGCGATATCAGTTGCTTTAGTTACCAAATATTAAAATAACTGATCAACAATAAATATTGTACGAATGACACCTTTAATCCTTATAATTATAAAGAGGTGATTACTAAACGTAGACATTTAGTATATACCTTTTAGTATGTATATGTATGTATGTATGTATGTATGTAGGTATGTAGGCAGGCATGTAACAACGTGTCAGCAAGGTAACAGACAGTGTTATTTCATTTTAATGTGATTATCTTATTTACATTTTATGCTTATATCTATATATCAATTAGCCCCAAAATTATTCGAATAACTCCTTTCTTTGTTTATTCAGAGCGAGATTATTAACCTAGTCATTTTGTATATACCTATAATCAGATTCAAAATACACATTCGTATACATATCTAGTTTATAAGGGTTAGTTATCAGTATATCATTGAACTATTGGTATGTTTCCCTTTAATTTGTTTATAGGATAAAGCTGGAATTATATATATATATATATATATATATATATATATATATATATATATATATATATATATATATATATATATATATATATATATATATATATGTGCACTGTTGTAATGTCATATTTTTCAATGTTATTTTATGTAAATTAAGTCATTTCGGTTGAATTTATGAAGACTGCGTAATGCTTGTAAAACTCATCAGTATACATATATGAAATCATGAATCTAGAAAAGAGTGAATTACAACTTGATGGATCCAATGGAAACTAACATGTATTAGTATACTGTTTTAATTTATACCAATGTTTGTCAATATATAGAGGAATATCACAAAGGGTTTTTCGTGGATATTATAGTAATTTCAATCGTTGAGATGATGAGTCCATTGAAGCTAGAGCATCATGGAAAACCTGGTAGCACTGAACTGCTGTTTCATCCCATTGTGGGAATACTAGAATTTCCGCGGTGGTCTAGCTTCAAATGACTCATGATGTCAATCATTGAAATTACTATAATATCCATAAAAACCCTTCTGATATCAATCAACATATGCTCATTAGTGATTGGCTTCAAGAGGTATTACCTGGAGTTCCAGTGAGGAGCAGTGACCAGTGGAGTTCAACCGGGTCTGTTGTGAGATAGTAACTCATTGACGGCAATGGTGGCTGTCGGTCAGTTCAGTGGTCCAGTGGTTAAGCGCTAGCGCAAGAGATTGATAGGTCCTGAGTCCGAGTCTCGT